TTGTTGCAATTTTGGAGCTTATCAAATTTTTATGGTAGATGAAATAGCAAAAACTATTAAAATGCTACAAATTTATTTTGCAAATGAATTAGTTTCGATTGTAAATTGAGTTAAAAGTAAAATTATGCTCGAAAAATCTGCTTCATAATTCCAAACGTTATTGTCGTTCTACATCATACTTTTGTCAGGATCATTTCAATCTTCAATGGTTTAAATATCAGCTCCCACAAAACATACAACAATGAACCTGATATTCCACTTTTGAATGTACGATGCCGCAAAAGTGTACATTGGAGACATTGATGGCCTTTAGTAAGTTAAGTGGCAGTTTTGGCTTTTTTATTTTTGGAAAAATAAACGGTAAACCAATATTAGTGATAATTTTAAAGCAACAAATTCTAAAAATCTGGGAAAATCTGAAACATATTTAAAAAATCTGGATATAAACGTGATTTGTCTGTGTATCTGGCAAGACGACTGAAAATCTGGAAAATCTAGACAAATCTGCAATACTGGCAACGCTGGCTGGGATAGTCAACCATTGCCCAGAAGTAAACCGGCGTTGGTGCCTACAAGACGTGAGTGAATAACAAGTGCAGTGAACGACCTTTTTCAGTTCCTAGTGTTCGTTCGGTTCGTTTCGACCAAGTCAGTCTCGACTGTCTTGGTTTAAAAGTGAAGGACCTTCAACTCTCCAGCTTGATAATCGTCAGAAAGGAGAGCATCCTCGGACTCGGAAGTCCTAATCGATAAGGAGGAAGACCCTTCTCGGCTCGACCAAGGTGGCCTTGTCACGGTCAGCCGATATTCACCAACGAAGGAAGACGCCGTTGACCCAGAAAAGGCTACTTCGGTAGCTGCATAGGGAATGCTACATTCCCTGGTAGCGAACTGCCTTCGCAACGTGCAAACACAAGCCTCCAATCCGCCATTGTCATGACCACAGCTCCAGTCACCAGGCGCCATCTTCCAGACCAGTCGAAGTCACCGATCCGCCATTGTCGACGGACTGATCAAGCCACGGACCGCCATCGCGGTCAAACAACATCAACCACAGCACAAGCACCATCAATCAGCAAACACCACCGGTACGTAGCAAAGCAACAGACACGCAGAGAACACACCCCACAATAGCCCAATAAAACCATCAAAATACAAACCAGAATTCCGTTTAAATAAATTCCTAGACTTTTTTCACCCACACTTTAGCTTTCAATTCATTTCACCATCGCTTTACAGCCATTCCATAGCGAAACGATATAGTGGTTCTCAGAATTTCGTAAAAATTGGTTGTTTTGTTCCTTATCGCAAAATATTAGACCAGTATTTTTTTATTTTGTCATTAGGGTGACCATTTCCATCTTAGGGTGGTCGAAAACATCGATTTTTGACGTAGAATTGCGTCTTTTGGCATCATATTGGGGGTGCAATATCAAAAAAACAAAATCGACCGCGTTACGAAAAGTGGTCAGGTTTTGACCACTTATAACTCTATCAATATCGGATGGATTTTAATTCTAAACAAGCCAATCGATTGGAAATGTTTCTACAAATGAACACTTTATAAATTTTTAATAGGTTACTATTACAAATGTCCACCTGTTGCAATGGTGATCAAAATTATCACCAATTGCCTGCAAAAAGCGCTTCCCTAACACAGAATTCAAAATCGAATTCCATCCGGTCTCCTCGAACGGTGCTTATTCAATCACCGTGTGTGGTGGTGTTCGATCCAGTCGGTCATGAGCAGCAGCAGTAAACATTGTTCTCCAGTACACAACGAAAGGCTGCCCGCAAGCAGTGATCTGCAGCCCACATGCGCGACCATTCATCGAAGAAGTAGGAAGAAGCCGCACCGCTACTGATCGGATTCAGTAGCTCTTCGTGAGTCGCTGTGGGCCATCTATGCCAAGCGTGTCACCCTCGTTACAAACAACATACAGTCCGCCAGCCTCATCCGTGTTGAACACCCTAATAGCTCAGCATTAGTCAACCATCACGGTTGAGACAAAACGGTTCTTTTAAGGGAACCATAAATCATTGTTGTTTAAGAGTTAATTTTCATTGAACGTTCACTCGCCTTGCTGCCAGCCACATCACCCCTAAAGCTCTTTGATAATGTACCCAGTAACCAAACGTTTATGGTCAAATGCGTTACAGTATTGAAGTGGTACATAAAAATTCTCGCATTGAGCGAATACCACATGACCATCCCAAGTAACAATTAGGGTTTTTATTAGGGTTCTGTAGACTATGAATTAGACTTGTAGCATGCTTTAAAACCAAGATAAAACGTGCAATGTTACTTGGGATGTCAATTAACCAGAGACGATAATTGGTAAGGTTTTCTCCAGGACGATAGAAAAAAGAATGGAGAATTTTAGCAAGACATTTTCCTCCTATACTGCCCATATTCGCATATCAGTCCCATATGGATAGGAAATCAAGCAAAGATGGGACTGATATGCGATTATGGGTAGTATAGCCGTTGCTATAATGTAAATATTTAGCCAACATTTGAAATAAAGTGTCGAACTATCCTTGTCGAAGGGAGATTACTCAAGATCAAAATCAAGATAGAGTCGCCTTGCTAGCTCAACAAATGAATAGAGATAAGAGCTATGCAGCCGGTTTGAAGAACTGGTAGCTACCTGCATTCTTCCAATTCTCCATTCCCTTTTTCATCCGCTTATCTGGGCACTCAATAACTGCGGCAGCCATTTAATAATTTAATATAAATGGATAGTTATTTCCCTTTTCCCGGATGCTTTCGAGTAGATTTCTGTCTTTCACTTTCATTCCATCAGAAGATTGTATCATTCTAAGGGAAATATTTGCGCCCTCGAGGCTGAGTCGAGATGGTTGAGGAAAAGTGTGAGCTCAAAGACAAGAATCGGACTGTTCGTTTGTTCAATTCATTAATCTGCCTAGCTTTGACCAAGCAGAATCCCTTTCCGTTGGTGCACCCCATCTTTTAGGGACGTTGAAACTGACATTGATAAGTTGCTACCATTCTGCTTCACGTTTCAGTTCGAACAGAAGTGGGAACATAATTTCGCAAACTAAAAAAATGAAGATTTGTTCTGAAGAACGATGATGGTCATCATTTATTTACTTAGCCTTAATGGGGGTATGGAAAACTTAAGGATTGGTAATTGAATTTGTGGAATGGAAATATATTTAATTTAACTGTTCCATTTAATATCATTTGAACATGCGATTTTAGCATTGAAAGTCGTTCCAGCGAATTCAATATGAATAAGCAATGAAATGTAGACACGAAAAATGAAATTTTAGCATCAGATCGCTCATTTTTCAACCATGCGATTGGGCTAAAAAAAAACCATCAACAACGTCACCCGAGAGTGGCAACTCCATTTTCGTGGAATACAACATCGGGTCCTTTCTTCAGAAGTACCTTTATCGGCCTAGATTGCAAGTTCCAGAACAAAGCTTCTTCTTTTCGCTGGTTATTTCCTTTAATGGCAACTGGAGCAGCACCGGTAGGTGCTGAATTTTTAATCCATCAATCAAAAGGATGATATAATATTTACATTGTCGAAAATAAAACGGAGCTCCGGCTCATTTCATATTCATACCTCATGTGTTCGGGAATTGCCCAACTCAGGTTACCTTGTGTTCTGCATCCGCTGCCGTCTCCTTTTCTAACCAACATCCGGCTGAGCCTAGAAACCACCGCACTTACCTTCAACGGAATTAAAGGACTACCAAAAGGATGATGATGATGGAAATGTTATAGGGAATCACGAAACATTGGCAGGTTAGCATCCAGCAATAAATGGGTTACGTATTTGAGTGGATCATAGAGCCTATGAAGATGTGAAGTGGCAGTGGCAGACTTTTAGTGGAGCTTTTTTGAAAATGCTGTTAAAATTTTTATTTCGTCGTAAAACAATTACTTAGGCTTGGGAAAGTTTGTTTGGACTTCTAGGAATTTTCCAACTCTTGTAGTATGTTATAGTAAGTTGCACCTTTCGAGTCGGAGGTTCTTGGTTCAAGACTGTATAATACCGTATGTAAATGTATGCAGGCAAGTGATCGAATGGTAAGAAACGGGTCTGAGATCAAGGATGAGTTTTCAAAAGGACGTATTCGTTTTTGTTAACATAATTCAATCGTTAATTTGTCAAAACTCTAAGCTGTACTACGCAATTCACGGTAGTGTAAAGTTTTAATATTTGCGTGGGTGAGCTAATTTCAACAAATTAACGTTTGAATCCAAGTTTACAAAAGCATATTCGTCCTTTTGAAAATGCATCCCTGAAAAATTTCGACTTTAATTTATTGCAAAATTCACCTGTAGCTCTCATGTAGCACTACCTCTTTCTCCAAGTTACGATCCAATGCTTTTACCATTCCACCAGTTTGGCAATGGTGTCTTAATTCAATTCTCCAAACTGCCACAGCACACGGATCCACACCAGTGCACGACATCCAGACGCATTCAAATTATGTCGGGTTGTTAGGCTTTAAGCGGATATTTGTCCGCTAAACTTTTCTCACAATTCAATCCCCTTGGCAGACACCCAGGCAAAATAAGATTGCAAAGTTTCTTTTATCAATTTTTTCATCTTCACACAGACTCTCTAAGTTTAGATACCACCATGGATTCAACGGATGAAATGAGATTTTGTTGTTGTTTGCCTCCTCGCGGGTGTTCTTCACAAGATCCACGGTGGTTGGAGGCGAAATTGAATCTCTGGGGCTTCCAGAACCGGCGCTGTTTATCTGTTGCTGTTGTAATCGGCGAATGATTATTGTCTCGAGTGGAGTGAAAATTCAAGATTTGTGGTATCGTGTTTCAGCAGGAAATTTGTAGCAACCATGCTTCCGCAGTTGAGAGCTGGGACTGCGTTTTCCACATTGGGCTCCTGCAGGACGGGGGAGGGGATGGGATGTAATTTGTTTTGCTTCGTTTAAATAATAAATATTCATTACTCGAAGCTCGCTCTTAGGAAATCCTTTCTTTTTCCTTTCAGATATTGGAGGAAGCTTCGGAAATCTCTTCCCCTTTGGAGTTCCTGGTACGACGACGCACGCTCGCACCATTCTCGTCAGCGGAAGATAAAGGTGAGCCGGCAAAAAGCCATTCACCGGATGTTTTATAGGTTAAAGTGTGTGCTGCTGGGCTTGGGCAGGTGGATGGCTTCTCCGAATCAATGCGACGAAGCAGTGCATTCTCTCGAAGGGTTATAAATAGAAGCCATGTTTTTGCGTGTATTTTTTTACGACTTGGCAGATGTAAGGAATGGTAGAGAGTTCACTTCATCGCAACTGACGACAGCTTCAGATAAAGTGGATTTCAATTTCCAGGGCAATTGATCCGATGGATCAATTGAGGAATTTTGATTGATTTTATTGTTTTGATGTTGTGGATTTAGTTTTATCGATGTTATTGAATTTCAGGGTGTACGAACTTTTAAAACCTTCAATGCATCAGGATTGTTGGCAACTGGTAGCAGTTGTATATTAAAATATGCTTAAAGTGGCCACTGAACAATGTTTCCCCTTTAGGTTACTAATAAAAAAATATGGTCTTGCATGTATATTTCATAGTGTAATGAACATAATTTGATGTGATCACTTAAGTGTCTTAAATGTGTTAAAGAAAATCGTTTATAACTTACCAACAAATAATCTCTTCGGAAAAAAATAAGCGACATAAAAAGTTATATGAATGCTTATAAAAAATAATTCACTAGAATTCAATGTTAAGAATGTTAATTTGTATAAAATTTCAAACACTTCTTTTCAAACTCTCCTCAGAATGTGTTCCGATTTTTCCTTGGAATTCATTTGAAATTATGATCAGAATTACCTTTGAGGTTGCTCCAATATTCCAATTGCATTGAATTGATAAGTATTGATTTCATAAAGAAATATCTTTAGAATTTGATTCCTTTTTGGAATGCCGTAGGAACTCTCTTCGAGTAATCGTTGATTCTCTTCAGAAGTGCTTTGAAATTCTCCTCTGACTTCACAAGGAATTTTTCTCACAATCCCCATTTAATTCTATTCAACTCTATTCGGGTCTAATATGAATACATTAATTTTTTCACACAATTTTCGTGGAGTTCTTCACTGAATTATCTTGGAGTTCTAGTCAAAACTGTGGAATTCTCTTAAAAATTCTACTCAAAAATCCCTTGGAGTTTTAATTCCTTCGGAGTTCTCATTATGTTCCCAGATCAATCGGATCAAGATACTTTTTCATTCCAGGATACAACATTTAAGATAAGAACAGGAATGTATCAATTTTGGTTTTAGGAGGGTTCTGTAGACCACGATTTGGACTTGTAGAATGCTTTAAAATTTATATAAAACTTGCAATGTTACTTGGAATAGGGACCACCACTTCTCATTCATTATTTTGCATAAGAAAACGGGAACGGGGTGTTTCTGTGGTGAAAAAAAGGTTAAATGTGATTAATTATCAGACGGTACCTCTATTTATGCTTTTAGATTAGCTATGAAAGTCCCTCCTACTTGGAAAACTATGCTAAAGAACGATTTATACAACCCCAGTTTTCTTTTTGCATAATTCTTCAAGTAGGAGGGACTTGCAATGCTTATCTCTTAGCATAAATAGAGGTACCGTCTAGTTTTTTTTTCAGTGCTAGGTTCGATTCTCTTCATCGATTTTCTGTTTACAGTTAAGCGAAACAATTCAAGCTGAACATTGCTTAGGTCCTAAGTAACACTGACAAGATTCTCTTCGTTGACTTTCTCCTTGAATCCACTCGGCCCAGGTATTTTCAGCACACATATCGATAAAAGAAGTTTTTTATCTAGCATCTAATACACAACAAGAAACGATTATGTGCTCAAGTTATTAAGGCTGGGTTCCATTTGATGAATTTTTACTTAAACTTGACAGATAGAAAATTTTCAAATAAACCTGCTATTCCAGTAGACTTATTTCTGACGGACAAGGAATCAATTTGACAGAGGCTTTCTCAAAAATCGGCCGATCTACAACAGAGGGATTTTCGAACATCTTAATTTATTTTTGAAGTGTCAAATCTAAGTGAAAATTTTCCAAATGGAACACAGCCTTAGTATTTTTTTTATTTGTTCAATCGGTAGATAAAAGATGTAACGAGAACTTATTGGAGGGATTCATGGCTAATTGATATCATCTCGATCAACTATAAAATGTTGCATAACATTGATGCAAAATTGTGCACTCCGTTTTTGTGTGTGCATTTATTTTTAGCGTTTTGAAGTTGAATCGCTGAGAATCAATCTCATTACCATAGAAAAAATTCAAGAGTACAGTTATCAGCTCTCACAAAACTTATAACAAAGAAACTGGAACTTCACATTTGTTGCAGTCCAGTACACAAGGAGTTTCAATTTCATGAGTGATGTCACAACCGTCCAAGATTTGTGTCCTAGAAATCTTGAAGTGATAGGGAATATCAGCCATCATGACGGTCATTGATGGACGCTTCAATGAATCACTTGAAGAAAGCCTTACTCATATCTGATTGTAATTTAGGAACCAAATGAAATAGAATATGTATTCCCATTTTTATGAGGTCCTGAATTTAACCAAGTTTTACTAAGTAGGAAATCCAAAATATGTACATAGGACTTCTACTGTATTTTAAATCAATATCTAGAAAAAAATGCACGAGAATTTCACTACACAGCTTAACGTAGTCTACATCAACCCTGCGGTCGTGTCTTGTACACAACCCCACCAATTTTTTTTTCTGATTTCATTTGAAAACTTCTTCAGACATCCCTCGAAAGTTTTTTTTTAAACATGCTCCGGAAAACTATTCAAACTTTTCCTGATAGTTTATTTTCTAAAAAGAATCTTCAGACCACTTCTTGCAATGTATTCTAGTTTTCTTGGAATGTTTACCTCATATTTTTTCATCTTTCCGCATAAGTTTGTTCCAGTTTTATAAGGATGGTTTTTTTACGACTTCTACAGGAAGAGTCCTGCAACTTCTAATAGACGTTTATTCCAGTTAAACTAGGCTTGATCTGGAAGTTTCATCTGACTGACATTGGCCAGTTCTAACGATTTATCTTGAAAGCTCCTTCCAAGTTACCCAAGTGGTTCTGCTGACATGCCCCGGGAAATGTCTGCCGATTTCTTCTGTAAGTATCTCTGAACTTTTTCTGAAAGTTTCTTCCGATTTGCTCCGGGAATTTCTTCCGTCTTGGATGTTGGGAGTCTGTAAGCTTCCTTTGAAAGTTTCTTCTAACTTTCTCCGGAAGGTTTTTCTTACTGTTTTGGAATCTCTTTCCAACCTCTCCAAAAAGTTTCCATCAGTATCCATTCGAAATTTCATTCAATTTATTGATAGTTCTTCACCGGCATCTTCCCGGCAATGTTATATTTTGATTTTTTTTTGCGGAAAGAATGTACATTTAGCGTGGTTTTTTAGCTGTTTCCTCCAATATTGGGAAATATCAAAAAATTAAATCGCACCAAAGACCAAAATCACGCTTGATTTTCGTAGACTGAAATCAACAAGCAAACAACTGCGGTTGATATTGTAAGCTGTGATATCGCAGCTCGGAATATCAAGCTAACAAAACTCAACAGCTACAATTCTCACCAACTTGTGGTGAGATTGAGTTTCATGATTTTTGCTTTACACCCGAACGCAACCGAAACTTCCATAACCGCTGGCAGCAGCCGCTTCGTGTCTGCCATCGGTGAAGAGAAAAAAGAGATAACATTATTATTCGTTCACTTTCTTAGAAAACGAGGTGCAATGGAATTATATTTGCGGCGATTCAACTATCAGCTGCAACTTTACACGTTGTGAATAGTCTCGCAATATCAAACGAGCTTGTAAAATCAATATCAAGCATGATATTATGCTCCAATATCACGCGTGATATTGGGAGCGTATGAGAGCTAAAATATATCATCGATGGTTTACTCTATAAATCGAAACGGCTTTCATAGAAATTTTTTGGAGAAATTAGTGGAAATTGATTCCCAGGATGTGACTGGTACTTCAATAAAAAAAATAGTTTTTTTTTTAATTACGTAATTTTTACAAACCCCCTCAGATATAAATGCTGGCTCCACCACATGTTCCAATAGCATCTTATTTTTGTAATTTCTTAATTAGGTGGCGTGAAATGTCGAGAGCAAGAGTTGAAACAGTTGACGTTTTTTACTACACTCGCTTCGTTGTCAGGCGCGACAGTCTGTTTGTATTCACTCTCATGCTTTACCGTCGTCTCTCTTACATACATTCGTGACGGTCTTCGGCGACAGTGACATTATAGTTCAGTACTGTAATTTGATAGCTTGTTTTGCAAGTGTCGGAAGCAAAGACAGTCGATTATCACAGAAAATGTGTCGACTACGGTGACCGCTTACAAGACTGGTCGAGAGACATTTTCAAGAAGTAGAAAATACAAAAAGGGATGGTCGTTTGAGTGCTAAAATTGGAGCATCGCTTGAAAACAGGGGTGGATCGCTCTTTTGGGACTTTTTCGTTACTTTTTAATATAGAATGCCTACGTTAAATCCAATTGAATTTTCGGTTTTCCCATCTTCAAATAGATAGTTTAGTGCTATCAATCTCCCTATCACAGTTCAAATTTTGCGCACCGTAGTGCCACACTCTGTTTTTCACTGAAGGTACACTTGAGAGCGCTCTCGAATGTAGCTTCAGTGAAAACAAAGAGTGTGGCTCTACGGTGCAGATATTTTGAATTTTGATAGGAAGATTAATAGCACTAAAATATCTATTTTAAGATGGGTAAACTGAGAATTGAATTGTTTTTAACTTAAGAATTCTTCATTGAAAAGTAATGAAAAAGTCCCAAAAGAACAATCCATCACTGCTTGAATGTTTCAAGTTATCTTTTGTTTTAAAATCTTTTAAAATTAAATTAATTATAAAGTCCATCTCTAAGCCCACCACCACATAACTAATTAAAATGAGGAAATCATCAACATACTTGGTTTTTCAGTTTACAGCTTTCGCCACGCTTTACGATAATCACCACTTTCCATCCGTCTACTTAAACTTTACACTTTTTCCCACAAATTCCACGCATCTAAATAATGGTTTGCTGAACGCTGC